AACCACCTCTTCTATCATGCTTATTGTATAATTTTTTTAATGCAGCAGTTATCTTCCTGTGTGGAAAATCTGCTTGAAACAAATGTAGGCTCTTTGTTTTTCTTTTCCTTTCCCCCTTTTTTCCTTTTATTTTATTTTATTTTTATTAGAACGCAAAGGATCTTGGTCAGAGAGACGGAACTCCAGTATTGTTGGAAGGCGTTCGTTAGAAAGGACAACCAGTGGAGATGAAGCTTGCAACCTTACTAGCTTTAGACCAGCTACTCTTACAGTGACAAACTTCTTTAAACAGGTACTGTATGAGCCACAGTAATTATGGTGCCTCCTATGACACAATATGATTTGGTTCACCTCCACCCGTGAGGTCAGTGTAGAGCTGAGAGGATCACTCATAATCCATTGACTGAATTTATCCTTGCTTTCCCATTCACAAATTATCTTTGTGTAGCATCTGATTTGATTTCTTATGCTGACAGTTGATTGTATAGACACAATCTGCAAACAGTGTGTTGTGATCTGTGGATTCTTTATGAGACCTTCATTGTGAATAATTGATTTGTCAAATTTAGCAGTGTCATTTTGTTTTGAGTGGACACTTAGGGCACATGGCATTGCCATTGTTCCCTGACTGGGTCAGTGTAACTCATAAAAACAGGTTTCCTCAGAGACTATTAGTTCATTCTTCTCCAGTGTTCCTTATAAACATTTTAAATTCACTGTTTTTGTGAAGATTTCTGTCAGTTGACGTTTGCTCGAACAATCCCAGAAGAAAAAACAGAGCAGTCAAGTGAGAATTCATTATTTTTTTGAGTGAATACGTGCCAAAGAATGTTTGATGTGTTAGGCCTACGTTTGGTCATGAATTGTAGCATAACCTTTACCATGGTGGTTGCTTCATCAGTTCACACAATAATAGCCTCAGTCTTTACTGTGCCCTCAAGTGCTGTTGAAATAATTCAGTTGAACTCAGTGGGAAATTTACCATTGATTTCAATATGAGCAGGATTGTACTCTGCAGTGGAAGATGAAAATGGCCAATGGTTCTTGAGTTATTTTCAGCACTTGGAGGTCAGATCCCATGGTAAAACAAATCCTTTAGTTTCTGATACTGTGATGCTAATGTCAGCTGTCTGTCAGCTGAGGCTCTGGATTTCCCTTAGGATCAGTAGTGAGGGAAATGTTTCAAAACATTTAGTATTGAAGGAGGAATGAGGATGGTAAGGGAGACGAGACTATTTTTTAAATTGAAGCTGTTTTGTTTTCAGTAAAGTAATGTATGAGGTAATTATTATTCATCCCTTTCTTAATTCCCACGTGGACTAGCAACTGAAGTAACTACTCTTGACCTAAAACTATATGTTTCCATTTCCCAGTTTTCTTTAATGCAGTGCCTTGTTGGGAAAAAATTGAGTTATATGAAATTCTACTATTTATCCTCTGATGGTGCCTAATGCCTATATGAAATAAAAAAAGACATTTTTGGGACCAATTCATTCTGTACTAGGAAGCTATTAATATGTGGAAAGAGAGACTTTATATATAGGAAAACATTATTTATGCTCTAGTTTTACTGAAATATGGGTGGTAGACTACTCTCATTGAAGTCAGAGGGCCTGATTCTGTACTTGCGTATTTTGGTGTAAATCAGAAAAAACTTCACTGAAGATAGTTCACTTTCAGTGTCAGTTAACCAGTGTAAATGAAAGGAGAATCTAGTCCTACCGGTTTTTTTTTATTTCATTAAATTTGGGTGTGTGAGAGGTTGGCTTCCATAGATGATACAGTTGAGTTAGTGAAACAGTGGTGGAGCTTGTTGAAAAAGAGGAGGAGGTAACTTCTGCAGAAAGGTTAAATGTAATCCCCTTTTTCGGCCAAAATTTAAGATGTTGATGATATTGAAATTGTGAATTTAAAAAATGTTCTGTCAGCTCTACTCAGTAGCATAGCTGCTCTCTTGCTGCATGTCTTCATGTCGTCTTAGTAGATTAGTAAATGATGAGAGATGGCTGAAATATGGAAAAGGTGTTTCCATTTCATAGGATTTGAATCCGAACCATATTTAATATGTTTGAATGTTTTTGGAAAACTTTTTTTTTAACATTTTCTAAATGTTGATTTCCCCCCGCCCCCAAAACCTTTCCCTTTTCTTTTTGTTTGTCACCAAGTTCTATAAAGTGATGGCCAGTATCAACAATTGTCTTCAACTGGATCATGAGAAAAAAGTTTGACAACCACTTGTTTAGAGTGAGCTGTGGGAAGGCAAAAGATTATTTTTTTACCAATCAAATGCTTATGCAGCCTCTGTATTAAACCATTTTCTTCTTTAACCAAAGGAAGGGGATCGCTTGAGTGATGAAGATTTGTACAAGTTCCTTGCAGATATGAGAAGACCATCTTCAGTTTTACGGAGGTTGAGACCCATTACAGGTATTTCAGTATCTTGATGGAAACTGCTGGAAGTAAAGCTTTGGATTGTATATTATAGGATTGTTTGTCCCTCACAACTCCTGCCTGGTTCATCTTCTCCTGTCTCCTTCTCTGTTGCCCATCTGTGTCCCCCAGTCCTTTATTTCAGTGTTGCACGAATAGTTTTGCCTTGGGACTATGGCATCATAGAATCTATGTGTATCTTCTAGATGGGAAAATCCCACTATTGTAGACCATACAACTGGCAGTTCAGGATAGTTTCTGATTGTACATTTATTACCCAGTCTAGTATTTAAAGTGCCACGTGTTGGGGGTTCTGATCTCCATAACACTGGCAGTTCAGGATAGTGTCTGATTGTACATTTATTACCCAGTCTTCTATTAAAAGTGCCACGTGTTGGGGGTTCTGATCCTTCCCCTAGTAGATTATTTCACAGGCTAATAGACCTTACTCTTGGGATGTTTTTTGGAAGTAGAAGGCAAATACATTAATCTCCACTCTAGAAAGCAGTGTTAATATACATTCTGAATTTATATTTCTCTTTCAGTTTTTGTAATAAAATATTTGTTTTCTATAGCTCAGTTGAAGATAGACATATCTCCAGCCCCAGAGAATCCTCATTACTGTCTAACTCCTGAGTTGCTGCAAGTCAAACTATATCCTGATAGTAGAGTTAGACCTACGAGAGAGATACTGGAGTTTCCTGCTAGGGATGTATATGTTCCAAATACTACTTACAGGTAAGATTTTGAAATACATCTTAATCCCCATGAGATCAGCAGGTTGATTTGTTGCAAAACTGTCTGATTTGTTGCAAAACTGCCGCACCATTAGATCCCCATGCCAAAGACATAATAAGGAGTCAGACTCTTACGCAAAAAATAAATGTCTGTAGAACTATTCTTTGAAGAACCTCATGGACCTCGGCTACATAAAACTCACCAGTTCATAGAAACAAAAAACAGGACTATGTAGCACTTTAAAGACTAACAAGATGGTTTATTAGGTAATGAGCTTTCGTGGGCCAGACCCACTTCCTCAGATCAAATAGTGGAAGAAAATTGTCACAACCATATATACCAAAGGATACAATTAAAAATACAGTTCATAGAGGCATCTGAGTGAGATTTCTTAACTTCTGGTCTGGGTGAGGTTTGCTTGAGTTTCAGTTACAAACAAACCCAAAACCTCAAAGGAAATTTCAATTGAAACCTCACAAGCTTCATGTGGTTTTGTGTTAAAATCATAATTATTTCAGCACAGTGACAACATGAAATCATAAACATGAGCTGTGTTTGTTACATAATGAAACCCAAATCTGGATCAGTTTTACAGTTATATCAGGAGATTGGGGAAACCCAAATCTGAATCAGTTTTACAGTTATATCAGGAGATTGGGGCCAAGGGATCTGAACAAGGGATTCATTTTAGCACATTCTTTCCTTCCTTTTACACTTGTGTCCCAGGGAATTCTGTAAGAGTGGCATCTTGGAAAGCAGAAGGGAGAGAATGCCTTTTGGGAAGATAGGATCTCATTCTCAGGGGCCATAAGATTTGGTTGGACCCTAGAGATGATCAGAAATTTTTCTTGTAAATATTTTTTCAGTACAAAATATGTTTATCACTATGAGTACATCTAGACTACTTTTTTTTTCGGAAGGAGATATGCAGATTCGGTGCTAATTTGCATATCTTCTTCCAGTCGCTTTTTTGAAGCGGGTTTTTCGAATGTGAAAGTAGTCTGGACGCACTTTTTGGGGGGAGAAAAACCCTTTTTCAAAAAAACGTGTAAACCTCCTTTTTTTAGGAAGAGTTGTTTTTTCAAGAGAGGTTTTTTCCCTCAAAAATACGCATCTAGACGACTTTCACTTTCGAAAAACCCCACTTTTGAAAAAGCAATTGGAAGAAGATATGCAAATTAGTGCCAAATTTGCATATCTTCTTTCAGGGGAAAAAAAAGTAATCTAGACTTAACCTATTTGAAAATTTTAGTAGAAAATGTTTGTATATTTTGAAAAGCTATTTCTAATTGAAAAAAGTGTTCAGAAGAAAAAATTTCCACTAACTTTGAGTTTAACCCAGCCCTTTAATGTATCAACAGAACTAGTGATACTACATGACTTTATCATTCAAAATATTACATCGGAACAACACATAAAGGCTACGTCTACACTGCAGAGTTTTTGCCCAAAAACATGTGTAGCATCCACACTACAAGAGCGTTCTTGCACGAGAAAAAGTACAGTAAATCGTAAGAACACAGCGCTTTTTGCACAAGAGTTATTCCTCTTTCTATGAAGAATAAGCCTTCTTGCACAAGAGTGTCCATGGCAGTGTGGATGCTCTTGTAAAAAAACACACAGCAGTGTGAACGCTCTCTTGCGCAAGAACTCTTGCGCAAAATGTTTTTGCGCAAGAAGCCTGCAGTGTAGACGTAGCCAAATTGTGGTGTGTTCAGTTTTGAGTATTTTGATTTCACTAACACTTTTTCATCACGTTCCTCCTTCTCCCCCACTTTTTGTGTGTGTGTGGGAGGGTGGGGGATGGGAAAAGAATATCTTTCCTGTGAAAAATGAAAATAAAAAATTTATGAAAAGATTAAGAATAATCTACCATTTTTGACCAATTGTTACCTCCAGGGTAGAAGACAGATTAGCTGCCTTTATTTTCTAAGTTTACTTAAAAAAAATACACAAACCCCTGAATAAAATGCATTACTGACTGGGGCTGTCCTTTTCTGCCACGTCATTTTACCGGTTCACATCTCTGCATCACATTTGAGTATAAACATTTCATAGAGCTCCAATAAATACTTTAATATAGTCACAATAAATATTTTGTTCACCTGTTCATAATTCTCAGATACATATTCAGATATAAATCCTATGGCTAGTCAAATGATTAAACTTATTTAAAAATCAAGTACCTGCATTGAAATTGCACTAATAACCTGCAGATCATGTAGAAAAGCAGCACTTTACATTGCAAGACCAAAACATTCTCCCAGATTTATGTATATAACAAATGTTTTTATTACCAGCTACCCATTTAAACTCTTTCTGAAGATATATTCTTTAGCTATTTCATTTGCTGTATTTATATTGCCCCCTTTACCATAATATTTAAGCACCTCACAATTTGTAATGAATTTATCCTCATTACACTCCTGGGAGGACATGCTGATTTTAGGGGGGAAAAGAGGTTGTGTTCTTCTCTGGACAACCAGTCTTTCTTTACCCTTCAAAATTATTTCATTCTTCTCTTCACTGGCCATCCTAATCTCCCGTGCTTCCCTTTTGTATCATGCTAGAAGGCTGCAGTCATTTGGTAAGGATGGACTAAGCATAAGTGGCTTGATCCAGGACCCAGCTATTAGCTCAAAGCCTGGCAATTAGGAGATGATGGTGGGCTGAGAGCATGATTGTTTCTGCTCACTTGGGAGTCTCTCTTTCAGAGATGGGGGGTGGAGGAGGGAGCCAGAAAGGTGACACAGGGCTCGTTTTCTTTCTGTGATAGAGGGGAAAGGAGATGAAGGAAGTAAAAGGAGAGAGAGGAGAACCCAGCTCACACTCTTCATCATGGAATCTTGAGGGTCAGATGTTAGGGTTCTAAAGTGAGGGACTATACCTGCCAGTCAAGACCCTCTCTTCTGCTGGAGGTTTTTTTTACCAAGGAGTTGAACTAGAAATAGCTAGTGTTGAAGTCCTTTGATGATGTGTCTATAAACTGCAGGTCTGACATGTGATTTAGCCCAATCCCATCCTACCATCCATGCATCAAGTCATTGATGCATATATTTATGCCCTCTATCCTGTATCCATGTCTTACTGAAGTGTGTGTCTCACTTTGCAGTGAGGGTGAAGCTAAAACAAATGTTGCTGAGCTCACATTTGAATAGGCCACCAAGGCTATCCCATCGTTCCCATGGCCTGTATGTTTGAACCTTTCTGCAGACCCAACTCCTTGCTCCCTGGGGCAGGACATCTCTCATGGCTTTTTTCCCCAAATGTTGGCAGGCTTCTTTGGGTCTAGCGACTGGGACTTATCCAGGAAACGATGGCTTTTCTTGGTTGGACAGTGAATTAGTTTGTGTCTATGAATTAGTCTGTTAGCAGTGAAAATACCTGACTCCAGAGCATTGAAATTGGAGGGCTTCAAAGTACAGTCTGAATAGCTGCCATTGGTAGATTTATCACTCAGGCATTGTTACAGCGGGGCTGGGCAGGGGAGTGAAGATCCCGTCCTGGGTGTAGGGTGGAAGAGGACAAGCTGGTGGGAAGTACTGGTGTGACAGTCCTGCCCTTTCTGGTCTTCCAAGGATGCTGACAGGCATTTGAGATCTGTACTGAGGATTTTAAGCAGCACCAAGACAGTTTTTTTATCCTCATCCCCAGACTACCTTTCTTCTAAGCTGATATGGGTCTCCTTGGTCTTTGGGAACTAAACAAACCCCTATATGGGTACAACCAACACATAGAAAACTAATCCCTTTAAAATTCTTTTATTCATGTTACAAATTAGTTTCTTGATGGAAATTTTCTTTCTTGATTTTTAAAGTGTCAGACAAACAATCAAACATTTCCAGTACAAATGTGCGGTATCTCTTGACTGATCCTGTTACTTTGATTGTAATGAGGGAGTTTCATCGGCATCAGACCTTGAATTGAATGAATGCTTGGTTTTGCTGTAATTTGCTATTTATCCTCAACCTTGTTTTCATTTTGACAAAATATAGTTTTAAAAAATTGATTTATTTTAGTGATTACAAGTGTTAAAATATGACAAAATTCTTACAGTACAGTTAGATACGATAGAAAAGTCAATATGACTGAATATATTCACATTCTATGGCTCCTACCGTGCAAACGCAGACACACACGCCTGAATAGTCCCATTGGCTTCTCGAAATCCTCATTTGGGTAAAATTATGCAGATGAGTATTTGCAGGATTGGGACTGAAGGTCCTGCAGAGTCTTTTAATCTTTACCAATGTGATTAGTTGAGTCGCACCATTAACTTCAATTGGTACAGGATGCAGGGCTGGTTTCTATTTATATTAAAGGTAATTGGTCTGTTTCAAACACAGCTGTTTGTCCAGTTGATTCCAAGGAATTCCAAAAGGTGACTGATAGAAAGCCCATTGAAATCCATGCGAAAAACTAACAGCAGTCTTTGGATCAGGACCTAAGAATTATTCTTAAAAGTATAATATTAAAGATTAGTTTCATATTCATATTCTGGATTTCCAGATATGCAGTTTTCATAGTGACATGAGCATAACTATGAAGATATGGCACAAGATACAGAATTTAATGTTCACATTTAAACACAGAGTGCCATAAAATGCAGAATTATCTGCCAATTCATTTAAGGATAGATATAGTCTAAGACTATAGTACACTTGAACCTCTTTAATCCAGCAACCCTGGGAAAAAGGGTGGGGACAGGGCACTTTTCCTGGTGCTCCCAGTCCCCTGCTCCCATGCACTTCCCCCGCCACTATGGGAATGGCATGGAAAAGCCTCCGGCACAGCGTGTCACTGCACTGCCATTCTCCCAGCTGGACGGAAGGAGAGTGGCAGTGCACAGAGCTGATTCTGCCTCCACTTGCCAGTGTTCATATCATGAGTGTTCCCAAATTAGGGACACCTTTCCCCTTCCTCCCCCCGCGTTCAGAGGTTACAATGTACTTGAATCTAGTTACTTTTTATAAAGTACTTTTTTTCTTCAAAACTAATGCTTAAATGTTTTCTGTGAAATTCCATCAGTCTGTTATTTTATTGAAACATGTTGCATAGTCTCCTCTACAAAATCCAGAAATGAATGCATTGGCCTGAAAATTCTTGTTTGCATGCAGTATAATCTGCTCAAATATCAAAGCAAGTCCAGTTTCTAGGTACTAGTGTTCAACAGTTGGGATGCGTAGATAGTTTTGAACTTGAAATATGTTACTATTTGAAAAAATAACAATAGTCTCAACATATACTATAAGACCATAACAGATTGCTCCTTGTTGTGTCATTGAATAGTATGGAATCTGTGCCTTGTATTTGGGCATACAGCCCTGATTATTAGTTCATGATATGTTGAATGTTCAGTGTATATGTATTTGATGAAACACATCAATATGAAGGCTCATTCAAAACTTTCCAGATCTGTAGGATGTATCATCAGTTTGGTTGACTTGATCAAGTAGAATCTTCCTTTCTGAGGCTTCCAGTATATTCCTCGTCTCCTTTCCAGTTTTCCCTCTGATCTTGGATTGATATATTTTCCATTCAGATTTGTTTCCCCACATGCTCTGTGCCACCAGCCACCTGCAAACAATATTTTGGTGTCATTTAGTCCAAATTTTACTTTTACTTTTTGGCATCAGACTCTGGTTACTGATTTGGATTGTATTTTCAAATTGAGGCTGCTCTAGTCCTCATCCAACTCCCACTGAGGTCGGTATTAGACTCTGACTTTTAATTTTAAATATGTAGGAAAATTCTAGTTTTTCCTTACATCTGTTTATCAGTTTTGAGGTAAATATGAATTAGGGTACATTTTACAGCAGGCCAAAATGAGGCTGTAAATAGAAACTGAGCTACAAGCTTAATTGTGGCCTGCCTGGGTATGATCGAGTGGAGTTAATATCCAGTCCATCTTCTGTTGGGTGCAAGAAGGAGTTACTTGTAGAAAGTGTAGTCTCCAGTGGTTGACTTCTAGACTAGAACCCAGGACTCAGGAGGCAAGCTCCTGGCTCTCCTGAAATCTTTGGCAAAACTCCTATGGACTTAATGAACCAGGAACTCCTCTCTGAGTTCCATTTCTGTCTTTGTTACTAATTCACTCTACGACCATGAGCAAGTAATTTCTGTACTTCTGTTTTCCCCACCTGTGAGATGGGATAATAATGCTCAGGCAGTGTCTCAGGACTCTGAAATCTGTAGAGAAAAAGCACTATGTAAGTGCTGATAATTATTATTTTAGTTTATATTCATTTGCAGGGGAGAGATTTTGTGAACTTGTCTTGTCAGTCTCCGATATCTATGACAGCTGAGTGATTATAAATAGATTTCCTTAATTCATGAAGTTATAGCTAGTGTAACAAAGGAACTGGAACTTTAATTTGCTTCAAGTACTGATACCTGAATATCTTTGTGGACAGTTGAAATCTCTCCTTGTAGCGTTGTCATGATCCATTATGGAGAACCTCAGTTTTGTTTGTTCAGGCAGTGCATTGGAAATATTTCCTAAGGTCTCTGAAAGAAGAAGTGTGTAGTCTGTTTCTGAACTTCCCAATGTGAATGTGTATTCGACGTAGTGTTTATTATCTCTCCAGTCTTTCAGCTCAATACGTAAAATGTAGTCAGCTTGGTTAGCAATGGAATATATCTTCTCTAGTCCCAACCAAAATTCCCCTGTATGGACAAGTGACATGAATATCATTAATATGGAGTTAAGATGGAGTACAATTATTTATAAAGGTTTATTCATTGCTTTAATTAAATCAATAGTATGAGTCTTGGGAACTCTTGATCTTTTCAGAGAGTCTCCTGAAACATTCTTTTTGTTTACATCTTTTTAATTGCACACTTGTGATCAATAAAAACTAGATACATAAATGAAATGGAACCTCTCCTAATTTTTACTGCACTCGTGAAGGCCTGCAAAGGGGACTCCAGACATTTAAAACACATGCCTAACTGAAAGCGTATGATAAGTGAAGCAAGTGACATTTATAAAACTTAATGCTAATGGAAATGAATTTCGCTTGTGGTTGTGGGAGTGGTGGTGGTAGGACCTAAATTGGGATTTTGATGTCCTCATATCCAAAAAAGTGGATATAATTAGAGTAGTTTTTCCTCTTTCATGTCCTTTTTCATAGTTGAACATGTTTAGCAGAGTATGCACCAACTTCTTAATTTGTCCACTGCTGATCCTACCAAATGTGAATGATACGCAGGCAAGAGGCCACCTACATCTCAAGGAACAAAGGACAAGTTCTTTGGAAAAAAACCAACAGGATATTACTTCCTTCAAGAACCAGAACCCTTCCATTTTTTGATCGTTAGAAAATCCTGCACAGCCACAATCATACATTGATATCTCAGTATAATTGTATGATCCTTTGCCTGATTTTTTTCTGACCTATGGAACAAAACACACCCTATATTGATGTGGGAAATATACACCAAGTAAGGGACATTCCTTAAAATAAGAGTGGAGTCCTGTTACATGAGAAAATGCCTGTTTCAGTCCTCTTTTGTGCTCCAACACCAGTGAGAGGAATAGAGCAATGTTTCACTGTGGAGGATGTGAAAGAAGGCAATAGCTGATGTCATGCTGCTCTCTACCCATTGTTCTGAGTGGCGGTGGAAATTGGTGGCTTTTTAATCTGCCACCCTGTATCCTGCCATGGTGAGTCATTTTTTTGGTAAAAGGAGAATCAAGCAATTTTAAATAGATGCATGGAGAAATCTGCTGGACAGGCAAGCTCTTAGCCAATGCTTGGCATTAGTAATGGTCATAGAGTTGATTATTAACTAATATAAATATGGGTGTTTCCTCACTATCCATGTCCAGGTAACATGATTGGCTGCCAATGATTGGGAGATGTGTGTAGAGAAAAATACTGTCACCCTAATGCTGTCCTGAGCTTAAGCAATTCACGTGGTGGTATTTAGTTTAAACATGATGTGGTGGGAGGAAGAAGTGCTGCTTACTTTGCTGGTTTCAATGTGTATTCTTGTGTTCATGTGTCAAGGAAACCTAGAACTTTGGCTGGAGAGTTTGGAAAAGCCAGAATCTAAAGAAAATAATATTTGAAGCAGAAATTATTCTTTTAAGTCCTGATTAGCAAAGCTCCTGAGCACATGTTTAAGTGCTTTGCGAAATTTGGGACAATAGTTGTTATATATGGTATGCAATATACAGTGTCTCGCATTGGCTATGTGAGCTGCTGAGATTGCTTGGCTTGTTTCTGTCTGCTGGTAGGTGATTCTGCTAGTTTCATCCAAGTTTTCAGTAGTTGAAACCAGCTGATAGTGTATAAAAAAAAAATGAAGAAGCAAAAAGTGCCTTTACCATTGAGGTCACCAAAACCATTGGTGTAGCTCTCCCAGGTTTGGTTGAAATCTAGTGATCCATCAACTCTGTTTTGAATTACTGTCCAGGAGCTGTCTATGAATGACAAAAAGGAAATAAACCATAAACTTGTTAGCTTATTATAACCATTTCTTTGGACTCTGACAAGAGTATAGCAACAGATAAAATGAGACGTTAATTGTTCCACGTTGGTAGATTTGCTGGGCATTTTATAAATACCACTTAGAGGCAATAAATTTATCTTCAGTGGTAGCCTCTTAGGCTATTATGCTAACATTTACATGAAGCAGTCGTTTTCACATTACGCATCACGACCCAGTACTGGGTTGTGGAATGTCAGGCATTGGATCTCATTGCTGTAGGGTGAACAGGTGTCCCAGCTGCGGTGCTAAGCAGGCTACCTGCCATCCTGGCAGACTGCACTGTGCCCCAGAAGCAGCCAGTAGCAGGTCCAGCTCCTTTGTGGAGGGGGAAGAGAGCGCACAGGGCTCCGTGCACGACCCCTGCCCCAAGCACTAGCTCTACACTCCCATTGGCTGAGAGCCTGCTGCTGGCTGCTTCTGGGAGCAGCATTGTCTGAGATACCAGGAGAGGCAGGAAGCTGCCTTAGCACCCCTGCTGCACCCCTGACTGGGAGCTGCTCAAGGTAAGCCCCTCCTGCCCCAGCCCTGACACCCTGCAAAGCCAGAGGCTCACCCTACACTCCAAAGCTCTCATCCTCAGCCTCACCCTGGAGCCCACACTCTAGTCAAATTATGTTGGGTCCAGGGATGAACAATCTTCTTCAAATGGGTCATGAGAAAAAAGGTTTGAAAACCACCGGTATAAAGCATACAAGGCAAATTCTGCAGTGGGACTGCTTGTTGTTGTTGTAGTAACTAGGTCATGACACCCTCATCTGACCCAGTTACAGCAAACATGGTTGACTGATGACCCTGCTGCAGCTTCTTTTTACAATGAAACTACATGCCAACCATGTTTGCACATCCAAACATATCACCCTGCCTCACTGTGTTTGCATCGGTGTATTCCTGGAAAATCTAGGCAGCTATGCCAGAGATCAAGGAGCCAAGAGGGCGCTGAACATAGAGCAGCACTGTCGGTCTGAGAGACTCTGCTATGATAGGATAATATGGGAGAAAGGAAGGTTCACCTGATCATTCTGCTGCAAAGAGACCCAGTGTCTGACATTCCACAACCCAGTACTGGGCTATGACCTTTAGTTTGAAAACCACTGTTAAAAAAAAAAAATGTGTGTGTCAGACTATTCAAAGCATAACTGGTGTTAGTAGGCCATGGTGAGTGCGATGCAATTAACTTTTAATTTAGTAAAGCTACTAACTAGTTGCTTATATTAAATTGTTAATAATCATTGCTTTTAGTGGTCATTTGGCTGTAGGGATGAAAAGCTAGTTCCCTTAGATGCTAATGTATATGTCTCTTGCTTATGTCGAAGAATAGACTGAACAAAAAGTGGAAGTGATTTCTTCAATACTCTATGGTATTTTGAAAAGTCGGGAAGAATTTGGAATGCCCTTGGCTGCATTCAGACTTATAATAGTTGACAACTTTCTAGGTGGCCTGCTGTAAGTCTGTGTACATTTTAGGGCTATAAATACATTTTCAGTTTGTCAGTAAACTGTTAAAGCAAGAATTACACTGCTTCTAGCATAACTGGTCTTACCAGTTTTCACTTCACAAAAGACATTGAAAGCTTCAGATCCGTTGGGCTTAATAGAGTAAATGCCACTGGTCCGTTCACCTCTCTTGTAAAGGGCAGTGCAGTCAGTAGCAAGACCTGGAATAGTAATAATTAAAGAATTACAAATATATCTTTGCATTTAGGAAGCTAGAAGGATCCAGTGCTGCAGAGCTAGTTGCCTTTATCAAGCATGTTGGTACAAGACCAAAACTGGAGTAGCTCTTTTATGACGGTCTTTGTGAAATGAACAAATTAGATTCTAAAGGTAAACATTACATCACAGGCAAAGTGTTTGGCTGTCTGGGTAGTTGGTAGGGATGTAAAAGGTTAACTGGTTTACCAGTAAACCGGTAAGCATTAAGTCGTAACAGTATCCTTACCAGGTAACTGGTTAACTAGAGGTGATGGGGGGGCAGCCCCCCACTCATGGTATGGTGCGAGCTTGGCTGACTGCAGCAGTCCTCCAGCCCTCTGCCTTTGGAGGCCTGAGTTGGAGGAGCTGGCCACGGGACCCTAGCCCCATGGTTAACCGGGTAAATGATTACAATTAAATCATTTAACTGATTAACTTTTGTACTGCCTATTTACATCCCTACTAGCTGGTGTTTGCTCCACTAGGCAAGGTTTCAATTTAGATAATCCTTACAAAAGGGATTCTTGGACATACAAAAGTCTGAGTACAGATTTTGGAAATAGTGATATTTTTCCACAACCTTCTAATGAGAGGATGTTTGAATTAGACTGAATTCCTATTGCTGGAGTCTGAAAATGCTGGTGAGCTTTAAAAGGCTAATCCAATGTCCTGTCAGTGGCCTCTGTGAAATGAGTTTGGGGTTCTCAGTCCATTTCCCAGTAGATAAATATCGGCACCATCAAAACTGCCAATAAAGGTGCTGCCTTGTATGTGTGATGTCAAATGTAACCAAAGGAGAGGCCAAAGACTGAATTGCCTGCCAGACTGGACTATTTCAATCCTAGAAGTTATCCCACTTTGTCAAAGTGGAGGGAAATTTGTGGGTCAGTGTGTGGAAATGTGCACTGCTGCAACATTTTATATGGTTAAATAAAGCACTTGAGTTTCCAGTGCTGAAATCGCAGTCCCTTTCATCAGCACTGGCTTGATATACAAACTAGAAAAGAAAGGTAAAAGCCTCCTGTATCTGCACATTTAACAGTGAACATGTGTACACACACACAAACACACACACACACGCGCGCGCGCTCTCTCTCTCTCTCTCTCTCTCTCTCTCTCTCTCTCTCTCTCTCTCTCTATATCTCTCTCTCTCTTATATATATATATATATATATAAAAAAACACAATGTGTTACACATTCATACCTAAAGCATCATATGATCTTACCTTTAACTTGTGCTGGAGCTGTAGAATTATGTGAAGGAAAGGGAATGATCCTAGGTTCCATTTGCTTCAGAGAAAATGAACTCTCTGTGTTTTCGTGGAAATCTGTATTGCTTAGCTGAAAGGAAGAATATTATTGATAATTATGTTATTGATCTCCCAAGCTCCTGAAATAGTAATCAAAAGTTACTTAATTCACTAAGTCGATGCACTGTATTCATTTTTAGAGTATAATATGGAAGTATTTATAAATGTTCCTGGAGATTTTGAATATCTTAAGGCTAAGATGCCTCTTTGAAAGTCATATTTGGTTTCTAAAACTCCTTCACTATGATAAGGAAATTGGCAGCTTAGTCCATTTGGCATGTGTCTTGATTGATGGATGGATTTTACATGTGTCCCCAAACTAGTCCCAACATTTAAATAGTTTAAGAAGCCCTTGGGCCCTGCACTAAAAAGTCTTTTCTTTTCACTCTGAAGAATGAAGTTAAATAAAATCATGTCAGTTTCAAAACCACATCAATTGTACCCACAGCTGTGGTAAGAGAGGTTAAACATTTTAGTGCACAGGCATGGTGCTGTGTTGAGGTGAATAAAGCAGCAGATAGAGGAAAAAGAGAAAATAAAACTGAGAGGCAGGAGATGGGAAGGAGTTGGAAGAACAGAGAGATAGGTGATTAGAGAATTAAGCCAAATGAGAAAAGTTACAACTCTAAATATCCCCCCCCCCCCCCCGTTGGGTTTTATAGTCCACGGTGCAGAGCTTTATCCTAAGCATTCCTGTGTCTACAAAAAGATTTGCATTTTGGTCCAGAGGGTTAATTCTTCCCCTTTACCCCTCCTGCAGTCTCAGACAATCAGAATGAATTCTGGAAATGAGAATACTGTATAGTCAAACTAACTGGTTACTCTACCTTTTCTTCCAGCTCCCTTATTTGATTGTGCTGTTTATCAAGTTGTGAGTGCTGTTCTTGTACAACTTTGAGTAGTTGCCTAATGTGGGTATCCTGTTGCTGTACAAAATTCTGGAGGAGAAAGAAAGTGGAGCTTAATCAAATACATCTTTCAGTGTGTGTTAGTAAGGTCAGATTAATGCCTGAGCAATAGTTGTCTTCCACCAACTGTTTTAGTTGGTGTCAGTTTTTAAAGGCATAACCTCAGTAGTCATTCTTTCCTTTAATTTTGCCTTCATTGTCCTGCCTTTTGAGGCAGAATCCTTTCTTTTCCTCTGGAGGAAGTATTTATGCCATTTTTTTTATCCATTTCTGTAGTTCTTACTTGAGCAAAACTGTCCATTTTAAGTAAGGCAAAGAATGATTTTTTTTATACTGTCTTGTGTTTTTAATTGAACTATATAAATATCACTAGACTAATGGAGAGGAAGGATGCTCCAGTGGTTAGTTGTTGGATCACCTGGGTTAATTTCCTTATGGTGCTACATGCTTCCTATGTGACCGTGGGCAAGTCACCAGCCTCTCTGTGCTTCAGATCCTGGCTGAAAATTGGGAATAATAGAACTGCCTTACCTCCCAGGGGTGTTGTGAGGATAACTATACTGAAAATTATAAGGCACTCAGGTACTGTGGAGTTGGGGGGCCATAAAAGTACCATAGATATCCCTCTTTAAAGTTCATGTTTTAAATAAATTTTACTGAATCTTATACACATTAAACCTACCAGAATTCACGTAAGCCACCATTTTGCAATGAGTTGTATTGCGCTGTAGTGTTAAGCTGATTTCTAAGGGTTTTACTATTATGCTTTAGTGTACTTTGAAATGGATTTTTTAAAGCAGAGATCAGATATGTAGGGCCATGTCATTCCATCTCTTTTCAAGCGAATTTCCTCCCTGATTTCTTTTTGGTATTTATGCTTTAAAACTGATGGCATTTCATGGTCCATAATAAGACACTTGAATTGATTTCTACAAGACTGTTATTCTCCAGATTTATATACAAATCTTATTTTTCAAAATACTATATTGCTTTTTATTATGCTACTATATTATAGGGCTTTCAGAGCATCACTCCCTAAAATAATATCCCTAGTTATTTTGGCTTTCTGCCCTCTGGGTTTCCTCAAGTCTACTTACTTTGAGTGAAGTCATTTCTTTCGATTCTTGAATTTCAGGCTGAATGTGGACTAATTTAATTACTTTCTCTTCCAGCCCTCCTATTTTCTCTTGAAGCTCAATCTTGTGATGTAATAGGTCTTCAATCTTTGAGTTCAACTCTAGTGATATATTCCTTATCTCTTCATTGTTGGCCTGTAATCTGGAAGTTGTTTTTCTGAGCTCTTCTTCTTCTACCTTGATTTCACTGGTTTGCAGTGAGAGCTCATAAAAGGACTTGTCAAATATGTTAAGTTTTTGAAAGATGTCATTCATTTGCCCCTTGGTCTTGTGGACAAAGTCTTTAAGGCCGTGTCCAAGCTGGAGAAGTCCATTACCTAAAATCCGCACATCATCTAACATGGCAAATCTTGGTTTTGGCTCAGGAGATGCAGAATCAAAGGAAGAATAGTCTTTGTCAAGACTACTTGAAATAGCAAAAGGGGCAATAAAAAGAAAGATGACAGCTATTTTCATGTTGTCGGTTTCCAATGTCCTAAGGTAGTTTTGAACATAGATGTTTTCCCTAGTTACAAATTTTGCTGTATGGTGGTTCTAAGTTAAACATTTTAACCTATATATACTCCTGTTCACTTCAGAAAAGGCAAACTGATTAAGTTGATCATTAAACCATGCATAATTGAACTAATGTAACCTCTGTCCTGTCCAGGGGATATCTGGAAAGATAAAGCTGTGTGACCAGCCTGTTGCTGATTAAACTAGTACTTAGATTTCCAATATGCCTGCTATTCTGTTATGTGTCGTGCTGGGGAGGAGCCTGGTTGTGGTTACATGTAGGTACCAATGACATAGAGAAGAGTAGAAGAGAGGTTCTGGAGGCCAAATTTAGGCTGCTAGGAAAGAGATTGAAATCTAGCACCTCTATGGTAGCATTCTCTGAAATGATTCCAGTTCCATGCGCGGGCCAGGAAGGCTGGCAGAGCTTCAGAGTCTCAATGCGTGGATGAGATGACGGTGTAGAGAAGAGGGGTTTAGTTGTATTAGGAATTGGGAAAACTTTTGGGATAGGGGGAGTCTATATAGAAAGGATGGGCTCCACCTCAACCAAAATGGAACCAGATTGCTGGCACTTAACATTAAAAAGGTTGCAGAGCTGTTTTTAAACTAAGGGCTGGGGGAAAGCTGACAGGTGTGGAGGAGCACATGGATTGGATAGAGCAGTGGTCCCCAACCTTTTCAGGTTGGCGGGCGCCAGGGGGCGTGGCCGTTCGCCCGCTGGGCGCCAGGGGGCGGGGACACTTGCCTGCCCGGGGGAGGCCCCCCCCAGCCGCATGCCCGGGGGCGGGGCTCCCCCCATAGCCATGCGCCCGGGGCCGGGGCCCCCCCCATAGCCACGCGCCCGGGGAAGGCGCCCCCCGGCAAGTGCCACGCACCTGGGGCCGGTGCTCCCCCCGTAAGAGCCGCAGGGCCAAGGCCGGGGCTGTGGCCAGGGCA